CTATCCATTCTTTGTCTTTTTTTCCTCATCAATTGAAAAGTAGCCATTATCCATTTATTATCTCTTAATATAAACTAATATTAATATAATAATTATCATTGCCCATATACTGAGTGCCGTCACAGTGCTAAGCAAATCCTTTTTTGTATAGAATCTCATTTAATCACCCCTGTGATATCTTACACAATCTTATGAAGAATAAACTAAGTTCAAGAAAGCTAAGAACTTGACCTAATTAAGCAGCTAGTAGATGGTAGAATAAGAATATAAGGTTTTTCTGACTACAAGTGCCCCTACCACGAATCACTGTACTTCCAAAATGACTAATTTAAAAAGAAACAATGAACAGATTTATATTTCACCCACTGAATTTAAAAATCAAGCCCACAGCACTGCTTTTGTAAAATCAAAAGACATGACTGCTTTAATCTTTCTGAGTAAGTTGAAGAGATATATAGAGGGCAGAAACATTAAACAAATGTGTGGAATACTGTTAGAAAAGAACAAAATATATTTACATATAAGGAGATTCATAAAATTTATAAGCAGTTAAGAAATTAATCACTTTGTAGAAAAACCTAATAAAATGCACTTATGTTAAAAATCAGATGATATATGAATTGGTTTTCTTTCACAAATGCAAAACTAAAGTGATTTATTATTTCATTTCAAATAACAGGATGGCGATCATTTAAAAAAACTGGATGGTTTCTGGTTACAATATGAAGAACTGCTTTATATCCTCTAATTTCTAGCACTCTACTCACAAATAACAAAAGTGAAACTATGAAAGTCATTATGGAAAAAAAACTACAGCCAGGTGCAATTGTATTCCAGTATCAGGATACTTGATTTTTACTTGAGAAAAATCTTCTTCTACCTGATAAGCTATATCAGTGAAAACTGAAAAGCAAGAGTAAATTATGAAGTAATATTCATCTGAATCAAATTTTTTAAAATTCTACTTAGGAAAAAATATACATAAAGTTACCCATATATTAGCACAAGAATAGTAACAGGACTTAAAATGTACACTGAAAAATAAACAATTATAGCTAATAATTGCATGATGTCTACTTTGTGTCAGGCATTATTCTAGAGTACTTTTAAAATACTTTTTTTTTTTATTTGACATAACTATTTTTGCTACAATTGATATATTGGAAGAACATCTGACAATCTCATTTAAATTTTAGAAAAGATGATTGCATACAGACCTTGTGGAATTTGGTGATATCACATAAGTATAGCAATCTCACCCTTTTTCAAATAGATTTTAGTATTTTTGATAATACAATTTCAATTCAACATCTGATCCCTATAGGAATTACTGTTCAGGGAGTGAAATTACAAAAATATAAAAGCAATTGCATCTTTTTCCATCTCCCCATACACACTTAAGGATATCAGTTTTAAGATGTTTGTATAAAGTCTATGAATCAGTACCCCAGGTAACAGCATCTTTTTCTAGCAGGAAAAATATATTTCTATCACCACAAACAATAAGTTTGTATGACTAGTTTACACAGTAAGCCTTCAATAAATACTACCGGATTTAAAGTACAAAATTTCCCTAATGACATCCAGTGTAAATTATTTATTTATTTTTCCTTTATTTATTTATTTTTCTTTATTGAGTTAACAATGGTTTAGGCAGTAGGTTCACCTCTCCTCAGCTGGATGTTACCACAGCACCCACCATCAAAATATTCATACTTCTTTATATAGGCCTTTGGGCCCCTCCCCACTTTGTTCCCTACTCTCAATTCTGCAGTCATACATCCAGGGTTTTTGTTTTGTTTTATCAGTTCCTTTGTTTTCCCTCCATATATTTTACATACAAGTGAAATCACCTAGTATTTTTCCTTCTCCTTCTAATTCACTTCACTTAGCATAATCCCCTCCAGCATAATCCCCAACAGCCATGTTGTCACAAATGGCAAGAGTCCACCTTTTTTTCATAACTGAGTAGTGTCCATACAGACACACTTCAATAAACCTAAAACATAGCTATTACAAAATTCTTACTTTTGCTTAAATTCAATTGCAGAAATCATGACCCTCTTTGAACAAATATTGGACTTTATGCTATAAATTGGAGGGGGTAGTTTCCCATTAATTGCTATTGAGGCATATGAATTTGAAAATAGCCAAACTTAACTTAAAAAGTGACAAACTTGGGCCTCCCCGGTGGCGCAGCAGTTGACCGCTGGACTGCGAAGTTGCCTGCAGCCTCTGCAGCAACGGTTCCATCCCTGAGGGCCGGCGAGGGTCCCACATGGCGCGCAGACCCCTCCTGCAGCCTGCTGCTCCCCTCAGCAGTGTTTTTCGTCAGTCTGCCTGTTCTGTTCCCTGCTCTGGCTCTGGTGAATTCTCTCACCCTACCGCTTTTCTGACTGTACCCAGTGCGTGCATAAATAAATAAATAAATAAATAGATAGATAAATAAATAAATAAATCTTAAAAAAAAATTGACAAACTTAATTTATTGTGCCATTTTACTTCCCCTCTATGCATTAACCATGCAGAAGGAAGTCCCTAGAAATTCTAGAGAAATGCATATATAATTGGCAGTGCTCAGTTTAGTAGTCAGCATTAATAAGAGCAAGTAAGCTAAAGCATTTCATAATTGAAGAGTATCTCTCAGAAAATGAAAATTTAATTTTCTTATGCTGCCACATTTAAGTTCTCAGAGGACAGGCCCTGGAGGCAAGATTTTCTAGTGAGTGTGGTTATAATAGATTATGTGATTCTTATTAAACGTTCATTTAGAATTTTGTTAAAATTCTTCTAAATAAATGCACCCTCATAGAATTGAAGCATTTGAAGAAACTACATTTAATTCATGAAATTTAATAATGGAAGCATTAGCATTGTACTGAAGTTCTCATTTTATCAAAATGAATTCCTTATAAAATATAAAGAAAATATAAAATTAATGATGAATGGTCACTAGATGAGGGTTTAGATATGATTTAGTAATTTACATTTAAATATTAATGTTCAAAAGCAAATTGTTCTTTTAGAGTTAGGATATATTGTAGGTGGGTATTAGTATGTATGTGTCAATTATATATAAAAATGTGGTATTATCTGCTATATATTCGTTGGCTACGGCTCTTTGAGAATAGACTTATAGTGGAATTTTTCTACATCAAAATATTATCATTGAAATTTATGCAATATAAATATCTTAGTAAAAACTAAAATTATGATAACCTTAGTTTTTATATGTAGACTAAGAAATGCATGGCTTTATTATATATGGTTAAATACTATGAATATATAATATTAACAAAGGTAGGTAGATGACAGACAGATAGACATATATGTATGCATGATAAACATACATGTTTATAACCAAAAATGTGTACATTTCTAAGTAGACTTCCTTCATTAACATGAATAAACTAAGTTTTGTAAAAACAAGCATATATAATAGGTGACTTTTAAATGACAATTCCTAAAATTAGAAAAAAACATGAATGAATTTGGGCCAACCTGGTGGCACAAGGGGATGTTTCAGCACTATGAAGCTATCTGCAGTCACTGCAGCATGAGTTCGATCCCTGGCCAGGGAGATAACCCACATAGCACAGCAGACCTCTCCTATCTCACCCACTGTGCTCCTCAGCAGTGTATTTCAGTAATATGCCTGTTCTGCTCCCCAATCTGTCTCTGGTGAATCCTCTCATCTCCCCCCCCCCACATTTCTGGATGTACAAATAAAATAAATCTTTAAAAAAAAAATGAATGAATTCACTAAGTTCACTAATTCAGTTTTAAAACTAAGTCTCAAATACATTGCTTCTTGGCATTTTGGCTAAGATCAAGGGAAGACTAGCCTCATATTTATCACCTTTCAAGGCTCACATTAATCATATTTGTATAATTGTCTTACTATGGAATAAGTGTTAGCACTGTACTTTCACATACATGTATATTTTTTCTGTTGTTTATTTACATGTCTTGTGCCTAGCCTAAAATACATATATTATATTTATAAACATGTTATATGTATTTACTGGTCTGGTTCCCTTACTGAGTTTCAAGGTATTCAAGAAGAGAATAAACACATTCGGTGCATTTGGTTTTGCAAACACTTATGGTATTTCTATTATGGGAGAAAGAAGTAACAACAACCTAGAAGAAATTACAGAAGGAAAACAAGATTTACCAAAGGTCATTTCATTGTGGGGTGATTAGCGAGGCAATAGTGAGGCTCACCTGCTCCTTTAGATAGCTAGTTCATGGAAGACTTTCTTGAATAACTGGGGACAGAGCTGTACCCTGAAGGCTAAGTAAACAATATGTGGCAATGAAATGCGAGGTGGGCATTGTAGGACAAAGCAAAAATATACACAGAGATGGAGAGGCATGAAAAAGAACCTGATGTCTGTGGCATAAATAAAAACACATAGGTGGTACATGCCACAAAATATTTGATGTGGTTAGTGAGCAGAGGCAAGATTGAAGATGTGGATGGTAATCAATACATCAAGGCCTTGCACAGATTTTGTTCGTTCAGCCACAAGGATTTTAAGCTTCTTCCTGTTTATTTTTTGTTGCATCTCAAAGCCTAGCACAGAGATATCTCGCACTTCTTCCAATTAAGTAGGAGTTATAATCAACTTTAAATATTAGTGAATTACAGAAAATTGTCAGGGATATTCAGAGATAATCTATTAAAAATCTTATAAAATGGAGCTAAGAATATTCACTCGTATCTGAAACTAGGTCTTAGTACTGAATAAATCAATGAGTGAGCATGTGTCTCTGGGTAGGACCATGTGAGTATGAAAGAATTAAAAGGAAGAAAGAAGAGGTGGAGGAGCAGAGGAGGGAGGAAGGGAAGAAAGGAGAACGAAGAAGAGGAAGAGGAAAAGAAGAAATGATTAGCACACTTAAAATTAAAAAGTAGAGGTAAGCGTTTTTCTGGGCTGCATCCTTCATTGATATTCCTCCTCCTAAGCTGTCAGCTGAAGTCAGCATCCTCTTACCTGGGCAGGTACACTTCCACTTTTTGTTTCTTCACAGAATTTGCCCATTCTTCAATCAGCTGTGCCTTGACCAGTGGCTCCAGAGTAGCCAGGGGAACTTCCTGTCTAGACAACATGAGCATCATACTTATCTCATCTCCCTCATATGGTATTTCTAAAACTTGGTAGATACCACCAGCTTCATTGGAGCCATCACTGAATTCCCCTAAAAAGAAAAAAAAAAAAGATGATAAAAGATCCATGTAAAAGCTTAAACAAAAAATTAAAATTGTTATAACTTTCTTCCAAAAACAGTGTACAGGATATAAAATGTTGGCATCTGTAAAAAGCATTTATTTGAAAATAGGTCTTGAAATTCAAGTGAATCCTCAGTCATGCAGAATTTATTTTATTTTAGAATCCCCAGAATTATTTTGCATTTTGTCATAACATCTTTTCATTTTTAAGTGAGATATGTCAAATGAATATATATTTAAGGATCATTAGAAACAGTGAAAAGTTCTGGTTAGAAAAATAAAGTACTGACTCCTAGATGAAATTAAAATCTCTTCTCTCAACATTCACATGATTTCTAAGAAAAGAAAAATTTTCCACAAAATACTTGGTACTCAATTGTTACCACAGCTGTAAGTTTTCAGGTTAAGTTTACACAGACAGAATGAAATCTAGGGCCTCCCTGGTGGTGCAAGGGATTAAATCTCAGTGCTATGAAGCTATCAGCAGCCACTGCAGCACATATTTGATCCCCAGCCAGGGAGCTAACCCACAGAGTGCAGCAGACCTCTCCTGTCTTGCCTGCTGCTGCCCTCAGCAGTGTATTTCAATAGATTCGCCTGTTCTGCTTACTGCTCTGTCTCTGGTGAATCCTATCACCCCCTGAAACCCCCACACCTCTGGCCTGCACTCCAGCTCTTGTATGCATAAATAAATAAATACATCTAAAAAAAAGAAATCTAAGCATTCTTCAAATGTTATCTAGTATATTTGTGGCTATAAATACCTCCAAATTAGGTAACTAGGCAAATTTGGTAACTGACTTGGTACTTAGCTAATTGATACAGCTTTCATAAAATAATAAAGATGTCTCGAAGACAAACTAAACTGCCATTTCTTCAAAATGTTCACTTTTGAAAAAAATTATTGTGCTTTTGTTACCAAAACTTTTCTGTAACTTATCTAGGCCACTTAGATATCATGTTAAACATTCTGGTTCTCATGTAAAGGGATATTATCCTGTTTTATTTTGACTGTTAACTAGTTTAACTGTAATTGTAATCTTACTTTTACAATATTTTTTAAATAGAACAAACTATTAGTTCTAACATATACTTAGCCTAAATTTACTTTTCTGCTTATAACTTCAATTATTATAGTTCATTGTAGTGTATTAGCACTCTGAACTTCTGAAAAGTTTAATGAAACACCTTTGAAAATAATGCCAATGATACTGAGTTATATCACAAATTATAGGCTCTCATTAAATGAATAATCATGTCTGGCCTATACATGCACAAGCCTAAACGTGAAATGTTAAAGGAATGCTTTTAATTCACAAAGTGGTGAGGTGTCTAAATCAAGAGTTAGGTGTAATATGTGGTTTACAAAAAAACACACCCACACCAATGGCTCTTTGGAAACTCAAAATAGTCTTGCCCAAGGTCAGGCACTTTTACTTTCTTTTATTACTCTACAGGTGGGGTTAAGTTTGTAAATTAAAGAAACATATTGAAAAACTTTCAGTTCATATAATAGTCACTCAGTATTTAGTTCTTAAATTGAATATTTTAATTTAAAGTGGAGCCTAGCAAGTTGATTTAAAGTCCCAGAACTTGATTGACAAGCAATTTGAGAAATTATTTATTTTGTTGTTATTAGAAATGTGATGAGAGGAGCCTCCCCTGGTGGCTCAGCGGTTGAGCATTGGGCTGTGAAGCTGGCCGCAGCCTCTGCAGCATTGGTTCAATCCCCGGCTGCTGGCAAGAGTCCCACATGGCACGCAGACCTCTCCTGCTGCCCGCTGCTCCCCTCAGCAGTGTATTTCGTCAGTCTGCCTGTTCTGTTCCCTGCTCTGTCTCTACTGAATCCTCTCACCCTCCCGTGCTTCTGACTGTACCCAGTGCTTATATAAATAAATAAATAAATCTTAAAAAAAAAAAAAAAGAAATGTGATGAAAGGGCCTCCCCGGTGGCACAGTGGGTTGAACACAGCACTGTGAAGCTGTTCACAGCCTCTGCAGTGTGGGTTCAATTGCCGGCCAGGGCCATATCCACATGGCGTGGCAGACCTCTCCTCTCTCGTCCGCTGCTCTCCTCAGCAGTGTTTTCGGTCGTCTGCCTGTTCTGCCCCCTACTCTGTCTCTGGTGAATTCTCTCATCTTCCCAAACCTCTGGCCTGTACCCCAGTTCTTGTATAATAAATAAATCTTTAAAAAACAATTATATAAAAAAATGTGATGAGAAATAAAAAGAGAGGGCAAAAAGTCAAAATGTCTTACCATAATAAAATTCTCCTTGTTGATACATCATTGGAATTTGGACTTCACTTTCATCATCTTTAGTGAAAGAAAAGGTTCTAGTATTTTCGGGTCTAAATTGTGACTTCCAGTTCCCCTTGAAATAGATAGCATTGATAAGGGCCAGATGAGTGACAGCATCAAAATCTCTTGGAGATACCAAATCTTTCAACAAATCTATTCAGGAAAAAAATGTACAGATGAAAATTAATATTTAATTGGGAGGTGAGAGGGGACCAAAAGCTTATAAAACTGACAATGTAAGCCAGAAAAATGTATACCATTTCCAAATTTACAATAAAAAAAAGCATCTTACAGGAAAAAGAAACACATGCAGAATTACAGAGTCAGGGCTTCTAAAACACCATGCCACCAAAAGCAACACCAGTAGCATCTTCATATTTGCATAAATTACAGAACCACAAAGAATAGAATTACAGAACCACCACTTTCTAGTTGTAGCGATAGATGTGAAACTCAACAGGGCAAGTTCTCAATGAATCTAAGTTTAGTCTTGGACAATATACATCATTAAAACGTTGTCAAATTCAAACTTTCCCCCAATATATATTGGCTATCCTTCTAACAAATGTAGCAACTGGTGAAAACAAAAGTGGGACAGCCAATTTAACTCATGATGCCTTATTTTCTATTATTTGAAATGTTCCTTTCTAGATCTATTTTGAATGGCATTGGATCTTTGTTTGCTAAAGTGTTTTTTAAAGTTTGGCAACAAAATGCTTTTAATAATTCAACCTGTTCAAGGTGAGTTATTATTCTTGACTTTTTCTTTGGATGTTAGAAAAATAAACACATTTCTTTAACCTTACCTTTCTACCTCTTAGTTGAAAAAGATGAACCAAATTTGCTCTGTATTCTCTCATTTTATTAATCATAGTACTTCCTTAGGGCTTAATGGTGCCTTAGCAATTGGGATATAGGTTATAAAATCAAGCTTTTTGTTGTTGCAGACCAACATAAAATGTACTATTTTAACATTATTTGGGGGGTTTTGACAGTATAACTTAATTTAATGAACAGCTTCAGTTTTCTACTTTTAATTTGTTCTTTCTTTAAATTCTAATTTTAATCATTTTGATAGTAAATTTGGAAATAAAATACAAAATATGAAATATTTGAAAACTTTATGCTTTGAAATGTGATTAAAATAATTTTTAATTAAATATATATATTTCCAATTCTGTTCCACTTATTTGGATGTGATATTTTGTTTGTTTAAAATGTGATATTTTCTTTGAAAAGAATCCTATTCAAATTTTTTGATTATTAATCAGTTCTGCGGTTTAAAAGCCAATAAACATCTCCAAACTCTGATTTCTAACTTTTTCCTATTTTTAAACGTATTGCGCGAGTCATCTATTTGTATTTTAACTACTACATAAGTTATTAAATAGTCAGTTCAAGCAAAATTTCATACCATACAGAGAAAACCCATTAACTGGAGAGCACATATTTCTAATTAATTTATCAAAACTAAAATCCTATACTTGCCAAAAGATTTAACTCCTTTTTCAAATAATTATTTATAAACAATGCTTTGAAAATAGACTGCAATCTATATGTAATAATTACTAGCTATTCAACTTAATGGTAGCTAACATTCAAAATGCAAAAGGAATGAGGGGAAAATGTAATTTCAGAATTAAAAGAAAGTTAAAACTAAGCTAATAGAGAAAGAAAGAAAATAAATTACATACTATTTGTGTTATTCTCCACCCACTTATTGATATAGCTGGCCACAGCTATATTTTGACTGAAGTCCACGTGATTTACTTCTGTATTAAAGTATTTCTTCATCATGTGCAAAAACTCATCTTTGACATGAATTCCATTTTGCACAAAGAGGGAATTGGCAAGTTTCATCACATACTGACTCTCTTCTGCAGTTACCAAGTTAGAAAGATCCTTCAGGAAAGAAAATTCTTCACCTGCAAAACACAAAGGAAAAGTTTACTTTGGAGCAAACAGTGAAATGTGAAGGAGAGTGGAGAAAGCACTAAAATATCACAAGGCAGATTAATACAACATAGGCAATAGGAAAGAACATTGGCTTATTTAACACTGACATGTTAAAGAGGTTCTACTATTTTGCTATTTCTAGCAAAATTCTAGTTAACTTTTTTGCATTTAGTATTACCGATGTATTATTTTTCATTTCAACTTAGTTGTTGGTAGAATCCATAAAGCAGAGCATTATTAGTGTCTTGCCTTCAAAGTACTTAGGTTCTTATCATTAAGTTAATCTTATTTTAAAATTATCAGGAGTAAGAACTAAATCCAATTATCTAGTTTAAAAATAATTAACCTTTGAAAAAAGAAAAATACCAGATGGTTTCACTTATCGGGGGTTTATAGGGGATCAAAGAAAAAATAATAATAATAACAACCAAAAAAAAAAAAAAACCAAAAATATAAAGACAACTGTAAATCAGAGACATTCTGCAGGGGAGGAAGAGGAAGAGGGGATCAAAATGAGGGAAGGAGGAGCACAAGGGGCTGTGGTGATGGTGCATGGGTGAATTGCTGGTGGAAATTCTATGGGGACTACACCTGAGAAAAGAAAGTAAATATTGTAAGGGAAAAAAAATAACCATATCCTTTAAATATTATATTCACTAGAATTTTTTAACTTATAATTAGAAAATCAATTAAAATTGCTTTAGTTTAAGATTTTAATGAGTTTATTCACATATATAGGAAATATTAGAATAGAAATCTTTTATCACAGTGATTATGAAATAATTTTTGACTAAAAATGTCTCTTATACAATTTTCATAACATTACAACACTTAAAAAAATCCCATGGGTGTTATTTAAACAACGAAGATACAACTGAATTAAGCAAAAATTTCTCATAGTCTTAGACTTTTCTTTATAGCAATTATAATTGTAATTTTGTATTTATTTATCTGATGATTGATCAAGAAATGCCTCTCCAGACTGGAACTGCAGAGCAAGAATTGTGTTTGCTTATGTTCATCGAGGTTAGGGTTATTTAAATAACAATAATAATGCCATTTCCTGAGATTTATTTAGACAGTGGTAAAGTCAGGAATTAACACCTTTCTTGTGTTTCCTCATTTTTTTTCCATGCCATTTAAGTGAAATCACCTTCTTACCCTGTGTAAACACTTCTGACTGTCGCATTACACAACAATGTAACTGGCTTGAAAATTAAAGTCAAACCACCTTGAGGAATCCAACTTAAGCACACATACCATTTTTCAGACTGTCATATCCCATTGTGTGGCGGATTTCTTTCAGTGTTGACCCTTGGGTCCCAAGTTCCATCATTCCCATTGCAAGGGTGATGCTCAATGGAGAGAAAAGAATATTTTCGTCTTCTCCAGTGGCTCGAATATGGTTATATATATTCACTGACAGCTCAGCAATGGTGTCATCAGGGAAAGTGGCTCCTAAAGCCAGACTTTGTGAAACCAGCAAGGAGAAGAGTCCAAGGAAAACCATGTTGTAATAGTTTCAAGCCTGGAAGAAAATGATATACATATTAATTATTGATTTCAGAAAGATGAGGCATAAGTTTAAAAAATAAGAATTGGGCCTCCCCGGTGGCGCAGCGGTTGAGCGCTGGGTTGCGAAGCTGCCCGCGGCCTCTGCGGCGCCTGTTCGATCCCCGGCTGCTCCCCGGCCACCAGAGGAGGGTCCCACATGGCGCGCAGACCTCTCCTGCCGCCCGCTGCTCCCCTCAGCAGTGTACTTCGGTCCTTCTGCCTGCTCTGCTCCCCGCTCTGGCTCTGGTGAATTCTCTCACCCTCCCGCGCTTCTGACTGTACCCAGTGCATGTATAAACAAAAAACAAACAAACAAACAAATAAATAAATAAATAAAAACATGCCTCTATTAAAAAAAAATAAAAAATAAGAATTATTTCTTAGCAAAGTTCTAAAGCAGACCAAATGTTGTAAACACAAAGTTTTTAACATCTCTAACAAAATGCCTCATTAAAGGATATGTTGGAAGATCTTATTTTTTTTTTTTTTAATACAAGCACTGGGTACAGTCAGAAGCGCGGGAGGGTGAGAGAATTCACCAGAGCCAGAGCTGGGAGCAGAGCAGGCAGAAGAACTGAAGTACACTGCTGAGGGGAGCAGCAGGCGGCAGGAGAGATCTGCGCACCATGTGGGACCCTCCTCCAGTGGCCGGGGAGCAGCTGGGGATCGAACTGGCACTGCAGAGGCTGCGGGCAGCTTTGCAACCCAGTGCTCAACTGCTGCGCCATCGGGGCGGCCCAGAAGATCTTATTTTTTAATAGCAATAGTCAAATGAACACATAACATTGCTAAGTTCTGAGCCTACTCCCAAGAACAAGCCAGTTCTAGTTCCCATCTTCATAGGGTTAAGAATATGTAGATACAGGGCCACCTTGGTGGCACAAAGGGTTAAGTCTCAGCACTACCAGGCTATCAATAGTCACTGCAACATGAGCTCCATTCCCAGCCAGGGACCTAACCCACCATGGCACAGCAGACCTTTCCTGTCTCGCCCACTGCTCCCGCTCAGCAGTGTATTTCAGTCAATCTGCCTGTTCTGCTCCCCACTCTGTCTCTGGTAAATCCTCTCACCTTCCCCCCCCACCAGTCCTGCACCTCTGGCCTATACCCCAGTTCCTGTATTCATAAATAAATAAAAATAAATATTTTTAAAAAAGAATATGCAGGTACATGTATAAATAATTACAGGTCATGTTTAGTGAGACTAGTTTGTTAATTTTTCATAAACATGATTTTTCACAATCATATTTGGTCATGATTTTAAAAGTTTACTCCAACTAAAAAATTATTTAAGTCCAGTACAACCTATAATGTAAACAAAACATACTTAAAGATTTAAGATGCACTATCAAAGAGAGACATTTGCTTTACCCGCTCACCAAATTTCTAAAGTTTATGCACCATGCAGTTGGGTTACCAACTATGGGAAGAGATGAAACACACACCTGTATCAAGCCAGTTTATTCAGTCAAGATGTGGAAGACACAGGAAGTAGTGGTAACCAGGAGAAACAAATTCAGCAAATCCTCATGTGGTTTTTATTTACATGGTCTTCCCTATGAATTACTGCTCCCACTGATAATCACTGGACAGGAAGGAGCCTCCTACAGTTCCTTTTATACTCAAGGTTGTTACCATTTCAGCTTCTAGCAACAAATTGGTGATTCTATTCATTTTTTTAAACATCTTTTTATAAAAATATTTTATTTTATATAATTCTTACATCATTTTTCATTTTTGCACAATGTATGCATTTTCATTTTGGTTATATTCCCCATATAATTGCACCCCCCCCCTTATTTTGACTCTAGTCCTTCCTCTCCCCTCCCCCCACACCCCCCGTAGTGTGTCTCTGGTTTATAGTTGCTTATTGATTTTGATTTTTACTTTCCAAATGCCCAAAAATAGATGACTGAATCAAGAAGATGTGGTACATATACACAATGGAATACTACTCAGCAATGAAAAAAGATAAACACATGCAGTTTGCAGCAACATGGATGGAGCTGGAAGGGATCATGCTCAGCAAAATAAGTCAGAAAGAAAAAGAAAAATACCGGATGGTCTCACTCATAGCAGCAATTTAGAAAACCTAAATAAAGGACCAGGAAAAAGACAAATTAATACAAAGTAAAAATCAAAATCGGCAAGCAACTGGTGATTCTATGTAAATGAATATGTCTAAATATGAGATTTACCTGGCTCTTGACCCTTTTCTGGTGGAATGAGAAAGCATTGGCAGTACCCAGAGAGCTATGAATAATATGTCAGCCTCTTGCCACACCAGTGTTCCAAAAGTCAGATCCCCACCACTTGGGGACAAGATTCCTTCTCTCCTTGACTTTCTATACTCTGTTACTGCCTATGTGCACCTCTGTTTTTATATTAAGGTTTAAATTATTCTCACTTGTTTGGGACGTTAAGGCATTCTCACCACCAGCACCGTGAGGAGGCAAAGGATGGCAGCTCTTGGGAGATCCCTTGCACTGCTCTAGAACAGCAGCTGTCATGCACACAGCATGGAACAGGAGCCAGGTGCTGGGAGCGCAGCTGTCCTGCTCATCGACCAACTTACACACTGATAGGAGGCTACTGTGGGATTATCCCTTCCTTTCTGCTCAGAAGAACCCAAGAAAAGGTGGAAGTAGAATAGATGGAGAATTTACTAGATTCAGGTGAAAATATAGCAGGTACCTTTAGCTAAATTTAGCAGGAGTTAAAAGAAATTAAGACATATATGGTATTTGATACTTAGGATGTGATACCATTTAGTAGAACTTTAAAATTCAAGTTAATCCTAAAAGCTCCTGTTTTTTAATCAGGACGCTACACTGCTCTTGGACATTACATCTTATCTTCTACCCTGGAAAAAACAAACACCACCTTATTATTTTTATTTAATGTTATCTGGTAGAAGACCAAGAAATTAAGGTCAGTATACAATGGAAGTATCTGCCATTCAATAACAACTATAAGAAAACCATTGCATTTAACATGTTTATCAAGTTCCAGACTAATAAATGATTTCATTTACATAAAATAAAAACCAACCTATTGTCAACTAATAAGCACTGCAGGAAATTAGGTCAAGCCTATTATTTCATCGACATTTTAATTACAAATGAAAGTATCATGAGATAATATTTATAGCTAACATATAAGGTATGACTTGGCTAGTTACCTGCATTCTCTCAGACTTCCTCATGAATTAAAGATATTAAATCATGCTCCACACCACTAATAAATAAATGAGATAGAGTGTATGAAGCACTCATTTAAAGCTATGTTATTACTTATAAAAGAGATTATCATAAAAAAGTATTTCTTAGGTTTACAGATTTGCTAAGTCAAGCAAGAGGCTATAGAGTCAAAATGAGTGCTTTATTTTTTTCTATGGCCCATTTAATGTAGCGTAATTAACTATTCATTCAGCCAAGACTATAGGGCCACCATGAAGACACTAAACTTCATAAGCACAGGCTTTTACCCTTAAGGAGCTAACATCATTGTGTGAGAGTATATGATCAATTACAGTAGTTCTTATCTTTTTAAGATATTCTTTTAAGAACCAGCTGAAGGATAAATCATCTCTTCAGAAAAATGCACACACATGGATAACTGAAAATTACATGTGATGGTCAAAACATTCACTGGTTTCATGTTAGGACCATGATCTACAGCAAATTGTCTAGATGCAGAAGGAAACAGTGATTCATGAGCCTGTAGCTCAGTGACATTCTCTTACTGGGGAGATATCAAACCACTAATGTATCTCCTGATTTCCAGAGGTCTCCCAGAAGTAGCACCCATATGTTTACGAGAAAAAGTCCTTGCAGGGCAGTGAGCAGCAGACCACTGATTTACATTTTCTGATAGGGAATGAGAAGCAGTATGGCCTATAAATGGTAGGAAAATAATGTGCCAAGGTGGGCGGGGCCAGGTCATTTTCTGTGGGTTCTTACCCATGCACTCAATTTCAAGACAACACTCAGGCTCAAGGTGCAACAATGTGGTTTATTAACAAAAAGGAGATGGAGGAAAGAGTTTCTAAAGCCATAAGTGGCCAACTGTCTTACCCCAGATAGTGCTGGCTGCTCATGCAAGATAGTACTGTCCTTTCAACAGGAGTCTGGAGCAGGTGGCATACTAGTAAGTGACAGACTAGGATTCAACTCACAGTGGCAGCTGGGGGTGATCACCAGTGGGGCTGATGAGATAACACTGTATCAGCCCACAGCAAGAATCTTAAGGTTGGGTTGGACAGCCCCAGATGCAGGGCTGGACATCAGTGGAGGCAATACGAGGAGGCAGTGCCAGATGTAACAGCACCAGAGGACAGTTCCCAGAGGTGGCCTGACATGGGTCAGCAGTGCTTGATACAAGTCAACAGGGCTTGTCAGCACTGGTCAGCAGTGCCAGTCACCAATGGTTGCCAGGAGACGGTTTCAGAAACAACAGTGTTACATGTCCTTGTGAACTACTGGCATAATAGCTCTTTGAGACACTGGGACCATGCCAATAGTGCTAGTGGTGGTATCAGAAGCAGGGTCAGAGGCACGTGCAGTGAGTGGGGCTCCAAAAGTCTAGGTAGGTCTGAAAATCTGTAGAAGTCTAAAAAGGTCTGCAAAGTCTATAAAGGTCTGCAAAGTCTATTAAAATCTGTTAAGTGTCTGTGGAAGTCATCTCTGAATACCCTCAAGCTGGCTTCTGCTCTGCCTTATATCAACTTCAGGTTCTCTACCCTACAAGCTATTTTTCAATACTGTTTGATTGATGACAGTCAAGCACCAATTAACTTGCTCCATTTTCAGTTTGCATAATGCATGCAAGTCCTTGAATGGAGCTGAAGAGCTCAAACCCAATTGGCCCATTCATCTTGAACCTGATTGGTCCATTCATAATTCTAGTGCCAGATGCAAAAGGAAAAACCCCAGTACCTAACCAGAACTGACCTGAACTGATATCAGGGTAAGG